TCCTTGTAACCTCGACAAAATGAATTTTTCTTTTAAACATTTCCTTCAAATTTCTCGTCTAATAATTTTCCTATTGTTTTTTCTTTTTTCTTGGTGATGATATTGTTACGGGCGTGTTCTTTAACGCTTATATTTTTGTATTATTAATGATTCAAAAAACAACGAAACTCCAAATGTGAATCAACAAGTATATATTGAAATAACATACAAGAACAAAATATACAATAATTTGTATTCAATGTATAGATTTAAGAAAAAAAGTTGCTTCCCTTTTACCGTATTTTGATTTGTAATTGATTGTTCGAAAGAAAGTTCTCTTTAGAGAGAAATGTTCAGGAATCAATGTTAGAACAAGTCTGCTGTTAGAATAGATAACACAAGAATACAATTGATCAGAAAGTGTGTTGTGTTAGAGATCAACAGAGTCCTGGTTGATTGAACTTGGCTGAGTCACAGAGAGGTATATGTATATATTACAAAATTCTGTGTCTGTGTGTGCGTTTGAAATGTTGTGAGTAAAGTCATAGGTTTGTGTTGACAGGCGAAATTTGCTGGACTAGAGTCGGCTTATGAAAAAGTTGCCTCTTTTAAAGCTACGGGTAGGCCCCCAGCGAAACCACGGGAAAAGTTGATTTTGCACTGAAATATGTGATTGTTTAAAATTTGACCAATCGCAAAATTTGTATTTACGAAACAAGTAAGCAAGTTCAAAACCGAAAAATTCAAAGCAACGACTGCGATGGCTAAATTGTTCTATAGAAAGGCAGTATTGATTTATTAGCCAATCACAGACGAATAAAATGTGGGCATGGAAAAACATAGCAGTCGCTACAATATCACTTCTCAAAGCAAATGGAATAAAAGTCTTCTCTCCTGTAGTGGTACAGAGAAATAACCATTTACCCAGTGTTGTTAGCGATGTCTGGTTGAGTTTAAGGCCCAATAGGGCCTCATTGAGATAGCGCCCGTTAACCTGTGGAAAAATGAAATAAAATCAATAAATAAGTTAATAATAATAATGGACAATAAGAAAAAAAGATATACATCTTCCTATAATGCTAGTGAAAAAAAGGAGCCGAAACATGCCTTCGTCAGACATCGTTAGGTGGCACTGTTGAAGTCTATAAAAAGAGAAATATTTTCTTTCCTCTTCTTTTACTTCCTCCTGTTCCAAAATGGATGAGAACGTGGAAAAACACGTCACGTACGTTCTTTTCCAGGGATCACTGACGACTGAACTGTATTTCCACTTTCCAACCCACGGTGTTCGCACGTGTCTTCCAAAACCACCACCTATGAAGTAAATCAACCTTTTCTTTGGTCGTTCCAACTCAACGCAAGGCTGACTTGAGCTCGACCATTATAACTATGTTTAAAACACCACCGATGAAGAAAGACAAGTTTTACTTTGGTTGCTCCAACTCAGGGCAAGATCTATAGATAGGTATAGATATAGACATATAGATATAAGTGTAGATATAAACCAGATAATTAGATATTAGCAATTGTATATGCGTGCGTTAGGCAGGTAAGCGGATGTATATTTAATTAATCATACTTATTATAAAACCCAGGTTGTGTGTATGTGTGTGTGTGTATGTGTCTGTACGTTTATATATTGGATCAGATTTCCTACATTTTTCAACCGATTTCAACAAAACTTCACAGGACTACGTAAAATTACCTTGCGGTGGTTCTGACAGCGCCCCAAATCGGAAAAACACAATTGTTTTTGCACAAAATCAATTTGAAAACACGATTAAGAGGCATCGCCGTCGAGAATGGAAGGGGGACAACTCATATCGAGTTATACTTGTTATAAAATCCAGGTTGTTTGTGTGTGTGTGTGTGTGTTCGTTTATATATGGGATCGGATTTCCTACATTTTTCAACCGATTTCAACAAAACTTCACTTTTTTTTGGCAGGTAGTGTTTCTTATTGTCTTTCACACTTTTTTCTTTATTTTTTCTTTATTATTTTTACATTCAGAATGCTTTTACAAGACAATTGTTTATAATAAAATTCTATTCAATCGGTAGACTCATAACGATTGAAAACAATGTTTTTGTTTCAGTTTGTGTTTGACCAATTCGTAAAAAAAAAAAAACTAATTAAGACATGCGTGTCCGTCAACCTTAAACAATAATCTTTGTCAATTTTATTTTTCAGTCTTTATGATGGTCGATACTTGATCTATCTCTTACTGTTACATCCCCGGGCAACGCCGGGCTCTACTGCTAATTTAATATAAGGTGTAAACGAAAGAGTGCTCAATGTAGTTAGACAGAGCTAAGAAGTATATATTAATAAATATACATATACAATTGAAAAAATTCTAAAGTATTTTAATTCTGGATAGATCATTTATCCGAATATCACATGCCCGTTACATATTTCAGGTTATATATTGATTTAACCCTTTAAGCGTCTATTAATTCGTAACGACCTACACGGCGTCCCACTTATGTAAACCTTAAGCTTGCATGTTTTTTTTCCAATATCCCTATACCTACAATCTGCATTTTGAATTTACACCCCAATAATATAAGTTTGTATTAACTTTGAGCTTCTTTAATATGACAGACAACGAATGTCTATTATGTTTGATCATGTGCCTTTCTATGGTTCGTATAGTGGCCTTAGTTGCGGGAGAAAATAAAGACAAAAACTGTCCAACATGTGATCCGGAAGCTTAGATTGAGGAACAGCACAATAAGAAAATATCTAAATGTTGTACAGTTTTTGTCTTTATTTTCTCTTGAAACTAAAGCCACTATACTGAACCTTAGAAAACTATCATGATCAAACATATAGACATTATTGTTATTATATTTAACAATATAATTTATATATATATATATATATATATATATATATATATATATATATATATATATATATATATATATGAAAAGTGTATATAAATATAAATAAATATATATATGTATAATTATTTATATATTATATGCGCGGTACTTATTAGAAAGCGTTCAATATCAGAGATAGAGCTAACATATTTGGTTGGATAGATGTGAGTTTTTTTTCCGCCACACTTCCAATCTTTAAATTTCAACATACAAATGCGTATGTATAGACACAACGCCACCCGTATACATACATATGTCATAACTGCCCACATATGTTTATATATGTATGAGTCCCGACGGACGACCAAGTATGTATATGTGTCTGCATACATCGATGTTTGCGTTAGTACGATGACATAAGCGACGAAGTTTCCCCCACCTCTTCCACAATAACACCAATACACACAATCTACATAAATCTAAATTTTTAAAAAAATTAATCAGTTTGTCTGACGATCGCTAAAGCGTGAAACCCAGGGTCACAAACTCACATCTATCCAACCAAACACACACACACACACACACATATATATATATATATATATATAGTACAGGTAACTCTTAATCTTTGAATCTGCGTTTAATTTAACGTTCCTCTCATGGGACCCAGTATTTAAAAAAAAAAACAACAACTGTACAACTGTAATAAGTGTTTCATTCACCAGTTCGTGCCTGACGACTTGGGCAAACCATGAAAATTTAAACAAACGTAGGTATATGTATATTTATGAGTTCCACCATAATAATGATGTGGGTGATTAATTATTCTCTACTTTTTCTCACAGACGAAACGTTGTTATCCTCCCCTATTCTATCGTTTATTTTAATGGCAAATGTTCAGTTAGCCTCTCCTATTCTATCGCTTATTTTAATTGGAAAATGTTATTTTTAGCCTCCCCTATTCTATCATTTTATTTTTTATTTTTTATCTTATTTTTAATGGCAAACGTTCAGCTCCCCTCCCCTATTCTATCGTTTATTTTAATGGCAAACGTTCAGAGGAATAAAAAAAATTCTATCACTTATTTTTGAAAACGTTATCCCTTCCTATTATCGTTTATTTTAATGGCAAATGTTCAGCTACCCTCCCCTATTCTATCAATTATTTTATTGGAAAATGTTCAGCTAGTCTCCCCTATTCTATCACTTATTTTAATGGCAAATATTCAGCTACCCTCCCCTATTCTATCGTTTATTTTAATGGCAAATGTTCAGTTAGATTCCACTATTCTATCACTTATTTTAATGGCAAATGTTCAGCTAGTCTCCCCTATTCTATCACTTATTTTAATGGCAAGTGTTCGGTAGCCTCTCTTATTCTATCGCTTATTTTAATGGCAATTGTTCAGTAAGAGTTGTACATTATTTGATTCCACCAAGTCAGAACATCATAGCTAGGACCTATTATGCCATATACACAGAACCGTGTCATCCTCATTTCCTTTGCATCCCATTGGTAAAAAGGAATTTCCATTCTTCTTCGGTGATGTTACGTTGTCGAACAGATTTCAGAAAGTTTACTTCCCCGATCTCTACACTCTTGGATTCTTCAAATCTAGAGACAACTGTTATCTATCCGACATATCCTCATATTATGCACTTTTTATTTACTCCTTGGAAGCTCTTACCACAACCTCGGCTTGAGTGGCACTTGGGCCTGGTACTGGATGAATATTTATAAATAAAAAAGTATTTTAACCATTAGAGCACATTCAATGGTGGGGGTTACAGCGTCCTGTCCTCTTACCGATGATCTATGACTGAAGAAAAAAAAACTGCAACTCCCAGATGCCTGCGATATAGTTTATTAGTCTCTGGCGAAAGCCACATGTGCAGATCGTGATATATCTTTGGTTACATGATTCGGTGACGTGTACTTAGTTGGTTACAGGTCGTGTGTTCTTTTAAGGCGCCTATGTTACCGCATATAAAAGATGTATTTTCTTTATTACGACCGCTATGATCTTATTTGGAGATTATATGCTGTCGTATTCGACAAAAATAATTTTGGAAGTGATTTTATTAAATGATGAATTCATTTTTTTGTAAAAACATTTTCTTTAAATTTCTCGTCTAATAATTTTCCTATTGTTTTTTTTTCTTTTTTCTTGATGATGATTTCACTTCTCAAGGCAAATGGAACAAAAGTCTTCTCACCTGGAATATCAGCCAATTCACACAGCATTTGCCGCAGTCATCCCAATTGTAAGAACCTTTTTTATGTCTATCTTTATGACTGAAATCGTAAATAAAGTGTAAGCCATTTTTTGCTCACTTTCCTATAAAGTTTCTTAAAAGAAAATATTTTGTTCCACATGATCTTCTAGTTTTATTTGAATGCATTTATTTTCTATAAGGAAAAAGTTTAAAAAAATTTTCTTTTTTTCTTCTATCTTTTATGAATAAAACATAAATAAAGCTTAAATAAAAAGCAAACGATTTTTTGGCTTAATTTTTCATAAAGTTTCTAAGAAAATAGTTTATTCCGCATGATTTACTTTTACAGTGTAACCCGGATTTAAGAGAGTTGTCGGGACCGGAGAAGAAGTCTCTTATATCCGGGTTTCTCTTATATCCGGGTTTGGTCTATTTTGTTTAGGTAAGTATGGGCTCTAATTTGGGACCAGAGAAAATCTCTCTTATATCCGGGTTTCTCTTATATCCGGGTTACACTGTACTTAAATGAACTCATTTTCTGTATGAATAATCTATAAGAGCATTTCTTTATCTTTATAAGAGTCAGATTAGGACAAAAATGGAGTAGATGTGTAAATGTACAAGATGGATTCTGACAACAAAAATTTTCTGGCACGGCACAGTGAACCAACTTTCCTTGCAGTAGATGCAACTATTGATTCGATGTAGTTGCTACACATTAACTCAGTAAAAAACGTGAGACCAAGAAGATGCAGTGTGTTGCTCTCCTGGAGTCTAGTGTCAGCCATGCTGATGGCAGGCAGAAAAGGTTCTTTATGGAGGTAAAATAAAAGCTTTGTTTTGTTTTGGAGACGTCGAAATTTAAAAGCCATTTCTTGCCCCAGTTAATCACTGATTGGAGGTCTATTTCAAGAGCAGCTGCCAAGTTTACTTTGTCAAATCTATCGGATTTGCTATTGAGATAGGGGTAAATGGTAGTGTTATCTGCAGGAATACCTAGTTGGCAGCTGCTAATCATTGATGAAAACGAGAAATAGTGTAGGACTCAGGGTAGAGCCTTAGGGGACATCTGCATTCCTGTGAAAGGATCTGGAAGTGAGCCTATTCAAAACGACCTTCATTTCCCGATTTGATAGGAACGATTGGATTATATCAAACATTTATTTTTTGACATCGTAGCCCTGGAGTTTACGTAGGAGGCCAGCATGCCAAACCCGTCTTCAAGGTGTCTAGAGCCACAGCTCGAGTTTCGTCATTTTTATCCAGAGCTTGATACAGAAATTCAGTGACGGTCGTTAACACATCAGCTGGCGAAACTGAGGCCATATTGTTTGTTCGAAGGGGGTCATGAGAAGATGCTTAACCAGTTCAGCATTGATTAGAGTCTCGAATACTTTGTAGGGGTCAGAGGGTTCCCCAGAGTTCTTAAAAACAGGAATCACAGAGGACGACTTCTAACAAACTGGGAAGCAGGAAGCATCGAGGCAATTGTTGTAGAGTTTGGAGAGTACTGGAGCCAACGCGGGAGCACATTTCTTTAGAACGATGACTCAGCACTCAAACCTTATCTATCTATCTATCTATCTATCTATCTATCTATCTATCACAGTCTCTTCATTCTATCTATCTATCTATCTATCTATCTATCTCCGTTTGTTCATTGTCTGTCTCTCCGTCTGCTTCTCTCTTTCTGTCTATCTACGCTCTAAATTTGGTAATTCTATTGACAGAGTAATATTCCAGCGGGTATTTACATATTGGTCGGATGCTGGGGTCCTGTCAAACCCGCTTGCCTCGTAGGAGTCTAATTTAGAAATGATGCCTGAAACCAGTGACGGGGTTATGCGCATATCACCCAGAAGAGCCCCCATTTTAAGGTGGAAATTAGATATGCTTACTCCAGATGAGTCGAGTGTGGAGTTGGAGTAAAACTTCAGAGCAAAGCGCTCAACTTTATCTGCTGTAGTTATCAGGAATTTAAATTGATTGAAGAGAGGAGGAATTGAGGATTTGCTGCTGTTCAACATACTCTTGGAGAGAATATTAATAATCTGTAGAAGCGAAATTGTGAGAGGCTATACCTAGTTTCATTCTATCAGCAGTGACTTCACTTCTTTGAGGACATTGCTTGCTTATTATCTATCTATCTATCTATCTATCTATCTATCTATCTATCTATCTATCTATCTATCTATCTATCTATCCCTGTTTGTTCAATATCTATCTATCTATCTATCTATCTATCTATCTATCTGTTGTGGCCTTGTTAGGGCCAGGAATAAAGACACAAAGAGAGGAATTGAGTTAATATGAATATATTAACAGAAACAGTAATAGAAACATACAAACGAGAGTGTTACAGCAAGAACGTTCGGTCCGACTGTCAGAGCTGACTGCTAGAACCCCCCCCTCCAAAAGGCAGTACTTACTCCTATTTATAGCTGGGAGAGTCCATGCGTGCGTAAGTAAATTACCATAACACTATCTATCTATCTATCTATCTATCTATCTATCTATCTATCTATCTATCTATCTATCTTAGTCTGTTTATATCTGTCTATCTCTCTCAATCTTTTCATATCTATCTATCTATCTATCTATCTATCTATCTATCTATCTATCTATCTATCTATCTATCTCCGTTTGTTCATTGTCTGTCTATCCGTCTGCTCCTCTCTTTCTGTCTATCTACGTCTAAATTTAGTAATTTTTTTGACAGGCTAACATTCCAGCGGGCATTTTCATATTGGTCGGATGTTGTACCACTGACCTTCAACCGAGTGGAATCCGGTGAACCGGACATCGACATCAAGTTTGTCCCTTCGAAACATGGCGATGGACTCAGCTTTGACGGACCAGGTAAGGTAAACTTAAATACTTCAAGAATGGCCTAAGGAATCGGGGAGTGGCGGATGAAGGCAAATAGGAGCAAAGTGACGTATTCACAGACGAATTTTTAAAAAGTTAATGGAATGTTCTGTTTGGTATGTAAATTCATTGTAAACTGCAACCCTAACAATACGGAAGCCAAAAATAAAATTAAAAAAAAAAAATAACATACTCAAACGACGTCGATTTTTTTTTTTGAATTTGAAATTCGCTATTTGGATTGTTTAATCTATAAGAAAAAAGAAAAAGCAAAAAGAATTCCAGATTATGAATTTTATTTGTTTTTTTTTGTTGTAATTTTTACATTTTAAGAAATTACGTGGCATGAAAATTCTTTTTATATTGCTGATGTATAGCACTTAATCTATTATTAAAAATATTTTTAAAAAATGATTATTTCTGATCGCAGTTTCCGTTGTACAACTCCCCACACCAAAAATGTTATTTACTGATATTTCACCCAATCCAAGACCCAAGAGCCATTCAATGTAGAGTGTAGCTGAGTGAGATTGTTGTAAGCGAGGGTTAGGAAGAATTAATAAATGCATCAGTTGACCCTGGATTTAAAGAAACCAAAATTATAGTTGTCAGGAAAGCATCTCCTCGGGAGTCTCTTCCACAAAGTAACAGTTCTGGGGGAAAAAAGTGAGTGGAACTTTTTTTTTTTAATCAATTCACCCAAAGCAAGGCGATAAAGCCAATAAGACGCAACGGGGGATAGTGGAAGTGACAGTAAATGTGGACATTTTAGAAGGAACCGGGAACCCAGTCTTAAACAGGAAACAAGGGATAAACCTCTACTCCTGTTTAAAAGACCGGTTCATAGGAATATATATATATATATATATATATATATATATATATATATATATATATATATATATATATATATATATATAATATTATAAATTAATTGATTTAAAATAATAATGTTTTTAAAATTACTGGGCGTTTAAAACCCAGTAATTTTAAAAATAAGTTACTCCAAAATTCGCTTCAGGATGAAATAGAACTAATGTCTTTAATTTAATTACAAAATTAAATTCAAGCATTTAGCTTCCATTTTTGAAACATGGTTAGAACTGTGTAGCGAAAATACATTTTAAATCAATTAATTTATAATATTAATGCTCTGTAAATTTACATTGAGCATTATTTTCTAAAAATAAAAATATCTATAAGAACACCAGATTATATATCTTACTGTTTTTTTTTTTTTTTTACACACACACACACACACACACACACACACACACACACATATATATATATATATATATATATATATATATATATATATATATATATATATATATATTTCATTGAATACGACAGAAAAGGTGCTTTTTTATTTTTTTTTTTATACAATTTCTCATGCGATCTTATAATTTTTTTCTTTTCGGATGATAAATTATATAAAGACTGTCCGAATGTTCTTTTTATCCGAGCGCTCGGACAGTTTTTATATAATTTATCATCTGAAAAAAAAAAATTATTAAATCACATGAGAAATTGTATAAAAACTAAATAAAAATTTTGTTCATCGTATTCAATGAAATGTGCATGAAAAGAAGGATTTGCTAGCTAAAACACACACACACACACACACACACACACACACACACACATACATATATATATATATATATATATATATATATATATATATATATATTTACCAGGTGTAACAGCAAAATTGTCAAAATCGTGAAGCACCAAAATTTTCGAATTGTTAGATTAAGCTGTGAACCGTTGTATCTTAGAAATGATTAAAGATATCTTACTGGAGTTCTCCGAGGTTTTTATAACACTATTGAACTCGACTTTGAACAACAAGAGTGTATTTTGCTCTAAGTTGAAATGATCATCCCTCCTGCTGTTGTGACATCCTGATCCAGTTTTCCTCTCTACTGTTCGCTTATTTTTTTAAACATTTTCACTGTTCTCTTGATGGTTCTTGAATGGACTTTCAAGATGGAAGCCAGAGTATGAATGTTGGTGTTTGCTCAGTTGGGAAGACGTGGTGGGGATGACACCTTTTTTAACCTGTTCTCTTTTTAGCTGAATAATTCAAAGGTTTTTTTTTCAACGATTCTTACAACAAATGGTGTTAAAGTGGTTAAACGTCTCATCTGAAAACCCGGAAAAAAAGAAACTCAATGAGTTTAGTGTTTTTTTTTTTTGGATATTAAACTTTTTGTGCGATAGACAATTACGTTGTATTTGGTGGATGCAGGGCGCCTTTCGTTTTTGCGTATGTGTTTTTCGTATTTGTTGTTGTGTCTGAATGAGTGCATGTCTGTATTTTGTTTAATTTCATGTAAATAATTTGTATTCATATTGTAAATACTCATTGGGGCTAGTTTTTAAATTTTTGTTTTATTACCCACCCCAGACAATGAATTGTACATATGGGGTAAATTTAGGATTTTTATAGAGAGAATGAGGTATTATGGTGGATGTAGCAAGAAAGGTAAGAAAGAATGCGTTGTTTTGCTATTAGGAATATTGTTTGTATGTCTGGGTCATTGTTTGTGGCTAGCTAATTTTAAAATTAAGACAGATGAAGACCGTCCTTTTTACCCACTTTTTTTTTTTGGCCTTGTGCCACATTTTGTATTTTATTACAAATAAATATTGCCGTTTCGTCTCCAGCTGTGCTGGTCAAACTCTCTGCCTCCGGGCAGAGAGGATCCCCAGACGAGGCTATGGCGAAGGGCAGAGTCTCGTCTCGGTAAACAACTACCTCACCACGTTTTATACGGGGTCTACAGGGAATTTTTGGCCAAGCCTACGGGCTCGAATGCCCAACATTAAATTTGGCCTTGTTCCACATCTGACCGCATGGGGCGGTTGGTAGATATCTTGCAGTTGGAGATTGTTTGTGGAATTCACTTGACTCACTTCTAGCAGTTGACTACTTCTACGCGCCGCTGGCGAATCTTATATGTGTTGTTCTTGTCCTAAGTATTATCGTTCATTAACAACCTTCGTTTGATTATTTTATTCAATAACCTTCCCTAGGTTACAACACTTACATATCCACATAATAATCCATCCTCCCTTTATGCCATTACCATAAACTAATTCAGTAGTCCTCTACCTTGAATGGCTCTTGGACCTTTTATTAGGTGAATAATAAAGTTGACAGCCATGATAATTAATGGCGTGTCATAGTTACATAAACTTTGGTGCGTCAAGTGTGCTAGATCCTAACCTGTCAACGCTCCTGATCATTGTCTTTTCGTTTATAACCAATTGACTAATTAATTAGTTAATAATTAATTACTTAATAATTAATGAATATCTATATGTGTGTGAGTGTTTGCGTTGATATATGTGTGCGTGTGTGTAACTCATAGAGGGGGAGGGTCAAGGAAAAAAGGAGGGAGAAAATTTTTTTCTTTGGGCGGATGATTAACATGAAATTGAAATGGGATAAGTGTAAGCAGAATGTGAATCTTGAGCGTATTTTTGTGTGTGTACATATATATATGTATATATGTCTCAGTGAGGGGAAACAAATCGTTAGTTACCACTTCAAGTCGAGCATACCGCCATGTTTCTTACCTGATAGAAACTGTGGCTGCGTTTGCTTCCTTTTTTATGGAAGAGCGCACATTATTAGTGAACCAGATGTTATCCAGGATTGGACCATACATTGCCAAGAGGAGTCGCAGTATGTGGTTGGGGGGATGGAAAAAATTGTAGCTAACGGAAGGTACACAAGTCGATATCCGATCAATATCGGCTGGGTCACCGTGGAGAGGGTGTATGTTGTTGATAGATCTGAAACCCCTAATGAACCTCGGCTAGAAACATTACTGATGATGTGTACTAAAGCATCCAATGGATGTATTTAACGAAAGAGATATAAATTTGTTTTTTAGGATTAGTAAAATTTGAATAAAAATATCTATTTCTTTGAATCTTTTTGGTGTAATGACCATGAAATCAGGGAATTGAATAATTTGCTTATTAAATGTTTTTTAGATTGAAAATATTGAAAATAAACACTAATTTGATAATTGGGTGGGGGCGGATGATTAACATGAATGGAAATAGAATAAGTATAAGCAGAATGCGATTCTTGAGCGTGTTTTTGTGTCCACATGTATGTGTATATATGTCTCAGTGAGTGAAACAAATCGTTAGTTACCACTTCAAGCTGAGCACACCGCCATGTTTCTTACCAGATAGAAACTGTGGTTACGTTTGCTTCCTTTTTATGGAAGAGCGTACATTGCTGGTAAACCGGAAGTTATGTGGAATTGGACCATAAATTGCCAAGAGGAGTCGTAGTGTGTGGTGTGTACCAAAGTATCCAATAGATGTATTTAACGAAAGAATTATATCTGTCAATATTTCAAGTTCACACGACACAGTGAATAAAGACAGGAGCCAAAGGGTATGAGTTCAATCCCTGGTTAAGGCGGTGGAGAACTTAGCAGAGGGAATTAAACATGGGATAACTGATATCCATTAGACATGGCACGTGGAACTAGAACAGTCTACCCCAGTGAGCGAAATAAAGGATTCAGTTCGACGTTCCGAAGGCCGGAGCGTACAACGGCCGAAACGTTGTAACAAATATGGCAACAAGGATGAGGAGATTAGTCCGAATAATATAAATAGTGAAAGAATTATAATCGTTTCTTTTCTGTTTTCTTTCCAGGAAACGTCGTGGCTCATTCATTTTTTCCGGGTTCTGGTCCACACGAAGGTTGTGCTCACTTTGATGACACTGAACGATGGTCGTTGGACGAAGACGGAGTTGACCTTCTACACATGGCCACTCACCAGCTGGGTCATGTTCTCGGGCTAGGACACTCGACCACACCCAATGCTGTAATGCAGCCTTTCGATAAAGGATTTGATGCCAACTTCGAACTCCATACAGATGACATAGAAGCAATACAAACACTTTACGGTAGGAGGATTTTACATGTATAAGTACGAACTTCTTTCTTCTTTTATGTGCCATGTACCTTCAGAGCGTAGGTGATCATGGCTCTCCACCTCTTCCTGTTCCTTTCGGCTCTCAATAAGTTTTGTCTTTTTGTTATTTCTTACAGACCCTGTTCTGCCATCCACTTGTTTAAGCCCGTTAAGTATGTCACGCATTGCTTTCCCCTGTACCTCTTTCCCTCTATCCATCCTGTGAATATCAGATTTTCCAAGCCCTCCTTTCTCAATATGTGTCCCAGAAATCCCAGCTGAATCTTCCTGATATTAAGTATAAGTTTCCTTTTTGTTTGCATCCTGAACGTTGCTCACATGTTCGGTCCATGGTATTCTTAGCATCCTTCTGTAGAACCACACCTAAGTTGTCTCGAGTCACTTCTTCATTTTTGAGGAGACCGTCCTATATTCGCTGCCGTAAAGGAGGACCGATATCATGTGGCAGTTCAGTACTCTTTTCTTTGTTACCAACGAAATCCTTCTATCTCGTAATACTTTGCATAGTTATTGGAATGCGTTTTTGGCTATGAATAGATCCTGATAAACATTAGGGTACTTTGGGATAAAGCGTCATGAATACTATGTTCTTCTTTTATATGCCATGTTCCTTAAGGACGAAGGCGATCATGGCTCTCCACATCCTCCCGTTTCTTTTAGTTCTTAACTATTTTACTCTTTTTGTTATTTCTCCCAGACCCTGTTCTGCCACCCATTTGCTCAACCCCATTAATTATGTAACGCGTTACTTTCCCTTGTCCTTCTTTTCTCTCTATCCGACCTGTGAGAATCGGATTTTCTAAGCCCTCCTTCCTCATTATGTGTCCCAGAAATTTCAACTGCCTCTTCCTGATTCTAAGTATAAGTTTTCTTTTTGTTTCTATTCTCTCCAAGACCTCGCTGTTGCTTACATGTTCGGCTCGTGGTATCCTTAGCATCCTTCTGTAGAACGACATTTCTGTTACCTCGAGTCTCTTCTTCTTCTTTGAGGTGATTGTCCAGCATTCGCTGGCATACAGGAAGAAAGATATCACTCTTCTTTGTTTCCAACGAAATATTCATGTCCCTGTTTGGCTTTTGGAATGCGTCTTTGGCCATCTCAGTACGTCTTCGGATCTCAGTGTCGCACTTTTCGTCTTCTGTTAAATAACCACATTCCTGTTGCTCCAAGTGTCTTCCTTATCTTTGATGAGATTGTCCAGCATTCGCTGCCGTAAAGGAGAACAGATACTCTTTGTTACCAACGAAAACCTCCCGTCTCATAGAACTCTGCCTAGCCTTTGGAATGCGTCTTTGGCCATCTCAGTACGTCTTCGGATCTCAGTGTAGCACTTTTTGTCCTCTGTTAAATAACCACATTTCTGTTGCTTCAAGTCTCTTCTTCATCTTTGAGGAGATTGTCCAGCATTCGCTGCCGTAAAGGAGAACAGATACTCTTTTCTTTGTTACCAACGAAAACCTCTTGCCTCATAAAACTCTGCCTAGCTTTTAGAATGCGTCTTTGGCCATCTCAGTACGTCTTCAGATCTTAGTGTCGCACTTTTTGTCCTCTGTTAGAACACATCTCAGATATTTAAATATTTGTACCTTCTTGATTTTACTATGCCCCTCCTGTAATTTGCATTTTGGGCTCATGTTCTTGCTCATGACCATGCATTGTCTTCTTGTAGTTTATGCTTAGTCCCTTCTTCTCGCCCTCTTTCGATACCTTCTGTAGGAGGTTTTATAGTTTCCTTTCCGTGTCTGCTATCAGCATTGTGTCATCTGCATATCTTATATTGTTAAGATTGTGATCGCCAATGATGAATCCCGGAAGGATTCATTTCGATTCTTTTATTCGTATTCTTTTACTATTTCAGTTGCAATATTTTGACCTGTGGATTCCTACCCGTCCTCAGATGCATCTTAGCAAGTTTTGTCACGATTCCAAATAAAATTATTCATGTATCCGAATAGAAAATATTCAGAAAATGCTATGACAATTTACTTAAAAATCCTTTGAGACTACATGACCATTATATAGGAGTCAATGTACCATAAAACCACATTCAGAAAAAGAACCTTGAAGATGGGATTAAAGACTATGAGAATCTACTTGAAAATCCTTGTTTGGCACTACATGAACATTATATAGGAGTCAATGTGCCATTAAACTATATTCAGAATCAGAACCTTGAAGATGGGATTAAAGACTATGAGAATCTACTTGAAAATCCTTTTTGTTTTGCTCTACTTGACCATTATATAGCAGTCAATGTGCCATAGAAGCATATTTAGAATCAGGACCTTGGAGATGAAAGACTATGAGAATCGACTTGAAAATCCTTATTTGGCACTATATGACCGCTATATAAGAGTCAATGTGCCATAAAACTAAATTCAGAATCAGAACCTTGGGGATGGAATTAAAGACTATGAGAATCTACTTGAAAATACTTTTTTGGCATTACATAGCCATTATATAGCAGTCAATGTGTCATGAAACTACATTCAGCATCAGAACCGTGAAGTTTAGATTAAAGACTATGAGAATCTACTCGAATTTATTGTTCTGGACTATGTGATCATTATATAGTTTTCAGTGTGTCGTAAAAATACATTTAAAATCAGACCTTTGAGGGTTGGATCAAAAACTATGAGAATCTACTTGAAAATCCTTGTTTGGCAATACATGACCATTAGAGAAGTGGCAGTATGCTATAAAACAACATTCATTAAAAACCAAAATTCGGTGTTCTGCGTGTAACAACAAAAACACTATTTCTTCTTGCAGGTGCTCGCTACACAACTGCAAGACCCAGTCGAGACTCGACAGAGAAGACGACTCCCAGTGTGAATCCAAAAGCCTCATCGAAGTCTTCTGAAAACACCGGGAAAACAAGAGAATCCTCATCCGTCGAAGCGCAAAAAAACAGGAAGAGGGCGAAAGGACCTCGAGCGAAATCCAACAAAGACGGTGCCAAAAATCAAAGAAAATTCTCGAAGAAATTAGCAAAGAAAATTTGCAAATTAAGGTTCGATGCAATAATTCACGGTGAGTATAATTATAATTTTCTTCATCAACATTTTCCATAAACGTCGCATGTTCTTAAATTTTGATTCTGCGACACGAAAAGACATGAGCGGTTCTTTAAGAGGCCCTCAGGGAGAGATTAAATAAAAAACTCGATATAACGAGTGATGAGTGAGGATTGCCTATCAGAGTAGAACCGACAAGTTATTGAGTGAGGGAGAAAATAGAGTATGGCTGTGGTAGAGGCTATCTAATGAAAAGTCACACTTAGAAATACAGGACAAGAATTTGACTAAATGAATATATTTGCAAATTACAAGAAATAAAAGAAAAAGTCACACTCGATTGAACGGATGAATAAGAAATACAAATATGACGCGATGAAGATGTGTGCAAATCATAGAAAACAAATAAATTCATAAATTAAATGATTAAAATTATATATATATATATATATATATATATATATATATATATATATATATATATTAAAAAGAAGAGGGGTGCCGCAAACGTTTTTGGTTGTAATGTGGAGTTATTGAGAAAAAATATTATACTTTGTTTTACATAATTTCACGACACGTGTTTCTGGTCTGGTCTCGCAACCGATGTCGCAAATTAAACATCACCATATAAATTAAACAATAAGGATTACAAATTTTACCTGTTACATATACACAGTCACCAAAAACAAACAAATAACCAGCTTTAAATATAACAAATAAACCCTTTTTTTTTCAAAATTTAAAAATAAATATAAATAATTATAATAATAATTTTTACCTATCATAATTTTACACAAAACCCACCACACATATATACATACATGCGAGAAAATATTTTTCAAAAAAAAAAAAAAAAATTCATAATATGACATGGATACATTCACGAGACATTAACGAGACATTTCCGCCACACTTCCAATGTTTAAATTTCAACATTTCAACATACAAATGCGTATGTATAGACATAACACCACCCGTATACATACATGTTTCATAGCCGAAACTGTCTACATATGTTTTTATATATATGTATGAGTCCCGACGGACGACCAAGTATGTATATGTGTCTGCATACAACGATGTTTGCGTTAGTACGATGAATGACAAAACGACAAAATTTCTCCCACCACTTTCACAATAACACCAAAACACACAATCTACATAAACCCAGATTTTTAAAAAAATTAATCAGTTTGTCTGACGATCGCTAAAGCGTGAAACCCAGGGTCACAAACTCACATCTATCCAACCAAATATATATATATATATATATATATATATATATAAATGAATAAGTGAGAAGATCATAGAAAATAAATAAAAAGTCACAGTCGATTCAAATGACAAAGAAAGAATATAGATAAGACTAAATGGACATGTGTGCCAATTATATAAATTAAAATAAAATAAAAAGTCACAGTCATTTAAGTGACAAAAAAGAATACAATTATGACTGAACTAATGTGTGGAAATGAAGCAAATAATGAAGCAAATAAAAAGTCACAGTCGATTCAACTGATAACTAACGAACACAAATATAACAAAATGAACACGTGTCCCAATTATACAAATAAAATAAAAAGTCACCATCGATTGAAATAACAAATCTAGAATACAAATCTGACGTAAGTGTAAATTGTAGGAAAGAAACAAAATGGCACAGCCGAATAAAAATATAAATAAAGAATAGAGATATGAGTAATTGAACATTTGTGGAAATCATTTAAAATAAAATAAAAAAGTGTACTCGATTTAAATGATAAATAATACAAAGTATGACTAAATTAATGTGTTTACAAATTAGAAGAAATAAATAAAAAGTCACATTCGATTCGAGTGAAAAAGAATGAGTATAGACATGATAAAATGAATGTATGTGCATGATAATACTAAGAAATAAAAATTTCCTGTGCTTTCAAATGATAAAATAAGGATATTATTATGACTAAATGTAAATATGGGCAAAAGATTTAAAATAAATTAAAAAGTCATACTCGATTCAAATGATAAATCTAGAATAAAAATATAACGAAATGAATAAGTGTGCAAATTATAGGAAATAAATAAAAAGTCACAGTCAATCCAAATGATAAATAAAGAATACAGATAAGAATAATTGGACATGTGTGCAAGAGTTTTAAAATTTAATAAAAAGTCACACTGGTAATAGGTGACAAAACTAGAATAAAAATATAACGAAATGAATAAGTGTGACACATTATAAGAAATAAATAAAAAGTCACAGTCAGTTCAAATTATAAAGAATTCAGATAAGAGTAAATGGACATGTGTAAGTGTTTAAATTTAAAAAATAATACTTGGTGCAAAATGATAAATCTATTCAAAATGAAATGAATAAATCTGGAATACAAACGTAACAAAATGAATAAATAAAAAAATGGAAATAAAAAATAAAACTCTTGCTAAATTCCAAATAAATAAATCTTACAACTTTTAACGAAATGAATAAATAAAAATAAATAAAAAGTCGCAGTCAATCCAAATGATAAATCTTACTTATTATAAAACGCAGATTGTGTGTGTGTGTGTGTGTGTGTACGTTTATATATTGGATCGGATTTCCTACATTTTTCAACCGATTTCAACAAAACTTCACAGGACTACGTAAAATTACCTTGCGGTGGTTCTGACAGCGCGAAACATTGGAAAAACACAATTGTTTTTGCACAAAATCAATTTGAAAACACGATAAAACACGATTCTGTCGCCCGAATGAAAGGGGGACAACTCATATCGAGTTATACTTATAAAACCCAGGTTGTTTGTGTGTGTGTTCGTTTATATCGGATTTTCTACATTTTTCAACCGATTTCAACAAAACTTCACATTTTTTTGCAGGTAGTGTTTCTTATTGTCTTGCACACTTTTTTCTTTATTTTTACATTCAGAATGCTTTAAAATTACAAGACAATTGTTTATAATAAAATTCTATTTAATCGGTAGACTCATAACGATTGAAAACAATGTTTTTGTTTGAGTTTGGGCTTGACCAAAAAAAAAAAAAAAAACTAATTAAGACATGCGTGTCTGTCAACCTTAAACAATAATATTTGTCAATTTTATTTTTCAGTCTTTATGATAGTCGATACTTGATCTATCTCTTACTGTTACATCCCCGGGCAACGCCGGGCTCTACTGCTAGTAAAGAATACAGATAAGAATAATTGGACATGTGTGCAAGAGTTTTAAAATTAAATAAAAAGTCACACTGGTAATAGGTGACAAAACTAGAATAAAAATATAACGAAATAAATAAGTGTGCAAATTATAGGAAATAAATAAAAAGTCACAGGCAATCCAAATGATAAATAAATAATACAGATAAGAGTAATCGGACATTTGTGCAAATGAGAAATCTAGAATACAAATTTAAGGAAATGAATAAGTGTGCACATTATAAGAAATAAATAAAAAGTCACAGTCAGTTCAAATGATAAATAAAGAATACAACTACGACTAAATGACTATGTGAGAAAATTAGAGTAAGGAAGTAAAAAGTCACAATCTTTTCAAGTATAAAAAAATAATTCGTCCCTCTGCCTGTCAGCCCATCAATATTATCAGTAAAGGAAGGAATTGCTTTTTAAGTACCAGAGTGTCCTTCCAGGGTATCAGTTATTATATATATATATATTTTGACTGACTGATTTTTTACGGCTTATCAACCGTTTGCATCTCATTTAATGCCAGAAAATTATTTTGAATTGTAAAGATTTTTAGGTTGATAACAATCACTTACTGATACAAATTCTACTGATTAACTCATAGCTGGTCTGGGAGGTGGGTAGAAAAATGTAGATTCATGCCTTTTCCCAAAGGTATTTGCACGTAAATGAATATAACGAACCCGACCGGAACTGGAACTCAGCTCTCCGATTTACAACTCCCTACCGTTATCCATTACCTCATTTACACATCCAAGCTTACAGCACTTGGTATTCTCAAGAGGTTACCCATCTAGTTAATTGGCAGGTTCGACGTTGCTTAACTTCGCTGATCGAATAGATTACATGCGATAAGGGATAACTGAATGATTCATCCTTTCATCATATTTGCAATATCTGTTTTGAGCCTATTCTGCTGCATTGGGTGTTTGGATTTTAATGGTGAAAGCTGTATTTTTCAATACTTGAGTTTTTGTGTTTGTACTTGAGTCTAAAGGTAAACATCGGTAGGAGTTATACTTGTCTCTGTAGGGAAATATATCTGGTACTGCTTGAGACTATAGTTAAACATTATTCATGTTTCTACTTGAGACTATATGTAAACGGTGATTGGGTCTATACTTAAGATTATGACATAAAAATTATTCAAGTTTGTACTTGAGACTACATGTAAAGGGTGATCGGGTTTATACTTAAGGTTATGACATAAACGTTATTTAAGTTTGTACTTTAGATTATAGGTTAGTATTGGTCGGACATACTTGAGGCTATTCAAGTTTATACTTGAGACTATAAATAAATATTATTCAAGTTTATACTTAAGACTGTAGTTAAAAATTATTCAAGTTTGTACTTGAGACTATAGGTAACCATTATTCAAGTTTATACTTGAGACTATTGGTTAATATTAATCGGGTTTATACTTGGGATTATACGAAAGATTATTCAAGTTTAGACTTGAGAATATAGGTAAACATTATTGAGCTTTATACTTGAGGGTCCAATTAAACATTATTCAAGTTTGTATTTGAGACTATAGGTAAACATTATTCAAGCTTATACTTGAGACTATAGGTTAACATTGATCGGGTTTATACTTGAGACCATAGGTAAACATTATTCAAGTTTATACTTGAGACTATAGCTAAACATTATTCAAGTTTGTACTTGAGACTATAGGTAAACATTATTCAAGTTTAGATAATCATTGACCTTATTAAGAAGCCAAAGATGCTAACCAGTAAGAGAGAGTTTTTGAATTCGGCACTGCTTATATATTGAGGCATCACGTTAGTACTGTAGCGTCACGTGATTTCATATCTAAAGGGAAATAACTCCAACTTTTACCGTTGTTAATATGTTTACTTATTTTATCTATCTGGGCATGTGATCGTATGCGTCATGCTATTTATTTACCAATAAGTATATGCGAAGTTTTCAAAATTTATGTTTTAAATATCTGACGGTCGTCAAAAGAAATTGGTACAGCGATGTGATATAATTCAAACATTAACTCGGGACTTTCATGCGATGAAGTCGAAAGTGGATAATTTGTTTGTTTTTTCCTCTTTTCCAGGTCTCGATAACAAAACGTTCGCCTTCCGTAAAAATTCGATGTACGACTTGAGCAGTACAAACGTGACACAGATGAAAATCAAGTCCGTCCTGAAGAAGTCTCCGATTAATGTTGGAGCAGCACTTTTTCATCCGGTTACGAAGGAACTGTTCCTGTTTAAAGGTAAATGAGGATTTCACTAGCACGCGCGGACACACACACACACACACACACACACACACACACACACACACACACACACACACACACTCTCTCTCTCTCTCTCTCTCTCTCATACACACAATGACAAATACGCAGATCCATACACACAAATGAAACTCAAGTACTCAAGCACACACATACATTTTTGTACGCACACGCCAATATATACACAAAACATACGCAAGCACTTAAGCTCACACATTCACACAAATACCCACACGTTCACCAAAAGCATTTAATAAATTATTTTCATTAATGTTAAGCTTATACTTGAGGCTATTGGGTAACATTGATCCGGTTTATACATGAGATTACAGGTAAATATTATTCAACTTTGTACTTGAGACTATAGGTAAACATTATTCAAGTTTAGATTTCACACGCACTCACACACACTCATACGCACAAGGACAAATACACAAAATCATACACACGCATGAAATTCAAGTACTCAAGCATACACATACATATGCGTACGCACACGCCAACATACATATAAGCAAAACATACACAAGCACTCAGGCTCGAACATGCACATGAATACACACACGCACGGTCACCAATGGCATAACATTTAATAAATAATTTTCATTTATGTTAACCTTATACTTAAGGCTATAGGTTAACATTGATCGGTTTTATACTTGAGATTGTAGGTAAATATTATTCAAGTTTATACCTGAGGCTATATTTAAATATCATTCAAGTTTATACTTGAGACTATAGTTGAACATTATTCAAGTCATAACGCTTTCTAGACGTCAAATAACTCTTCCAATAATTTTAAATACCCATCAGCATCCTCAGCTTTACATTGTTTAATTTAATATTCTTCCATTTTCCTCTACTCGTGAGAATGGCTATTTGGAGGGGCCTCAAAAGGGAAATAGCTTAGGGCCTCTCTTCACCTAAATCCGGCCCTGCTTTGTTATTGCGATTTTAGCGGGGTGACCTATAATTTTTACGTCTTATTACTATGAGGTGTCAAAAAATAGCAGAAATTAAAGAAAAAATAGAAAAATAAATAACAATGACTTTGCTTTGGGCAATATTATAGGAAATATTAGATTAACAGACATGAAATGACGCACTTTATGGGAAGTGAATAAAACGCTTCTGAAATGTTAAATAACTAATTTATTTAGTTGAAATAGGCATCATGTTGACGAAGGACTGTTCTCCAACGTCCCTCTAAATACTTGATATCATATTTAAAATTTTTTTCATCCTTTGATGTGATAAAAGTTCAAATGCTTCGATTACCTCTTCCTTATTGGAGAATGTTTTATTGCGTATGAAAAGCTCAAAATGCTTACATAAGTAAGAGAGATATCAAGTGAATATGGAGGTTGAGGCAAAATTTCATAATTCAGGCTATGCAGCTTTTGGCCAGTTGATTGAAAAGCGTGCGACCGTACGTTGTCGTGCAGTAAAATTAGGTCATCCCTATTGACAAGTCTAGGATGTTTCTTTTTCAATTTTTTTTTGTGCATACACTCAATTTCTCTAAAATACGAGGTTGCTGTTATTGTTTTCCCTTGAGGCAAGAATGATTAATGACTAACCCCTTTGAAAGACCACCATTAAGTTTTTCGGATGCAGTGGAGGTTTTGGGTATTGTTTTGGTGATTCACTTGCATCTAACAACTGGTTACTGTTGTCAAAGAGTATCTATTTCTCATCGCATGTAATGATTCAATGCAAAAATGGTTCTTTTTTTCCAGTGTGTGCTCATACAGTAAGATTACTCGACTTTGTTTCATTGTAATCATTTTTACTGGGCTTGTGAGTAACAATATATTAAAAGACAAATATCTGGAAAGAAAAAGAGTCAAGATTAAGTCAAGATTTTTTATATACTAGGGTGATTACTTTCGTTAGAAGACCCGATTAAACAACCAACCAATCAAAAATGCGTCATTTTATATGAGACAATCACATACAATTTTTGGAACCAATTTTAGGTGATAATGCCACTAGGATACAAAGGGGTTACTAGGAGTGAAAGAAGAAGAAGTGAGAGGGCAAGGAACAGGATTCAGGATGACAGAAAATGGCGATTGGCGTTGCATTTATTTTTTTGAAGATTTTAGGTGCAGGGTAGCAAGAAATCGGAAAGGGAGTTTCACGGGCGAGAAGAAGAAAAGAAACAATTAGAATGGAAGATACGGACGCATCTAGCTATTTCAACAGTGAGACCTAATTGCCAATCGAGTAACATGCTTAAATTCATGCAGTCGAGAGACGAAGCAGTAAAGCGCATCAGGACAAACGAAAATATGAAAATATTTGTAGAGAATACAGAGGGAAGTCACGTGAAAAGAAAGTGACTGGTGTCGAGATGTCAGGTCAGGATCGATTACATAACAGATACTTATCTGAATTTTATCAAGAATCTCGAGATATATAGCAAGGGCACCAGACTAAATATGGCAGCAGCAATCAATGCACCGACAAATGGTAAATTTATAAATGAGGAAGATGGATTCTGACGAGAAGAATTGTCTGGCACGTCGCAGTGAACGAACTTTCGTAGCAGGGGACTTAGCAATTGATTCATTATAATCACTCCAATTCATGCCAGTGGAAAATGCGAGCCAAGAAGGCACAATGGGTTGCTTTCATGGAGGTTAGCATCAGCCATGCTGATGGAAGACATAAATGGTTCTATATGAGTCTAGAGTTAACCTTCCACTCCTATCAATATAATCTACCCCTTAACCTATCCCTCTACCTCGAGTGGCTCCCGGGCCTTGTACAGGGTGAACATTATTGTAAAAAAAATTATCAACCAATATTTCTACAATTTTAATCTGTTCAAGTCTAGAGTTAACTGTTATCTTCCCCTCTTATCCCTATAAACTACCCCTTAGCGTATCCCTCTACCTCGAGTGGCTCCCGGGCCTTGTACAGGGCGAACATTATTGCAAAAAAAATTATCAACCAATATTTCTACAATCTTAATCTGTTCAAGTCTCGAGTTAACTGTTATCTTCCCCTCCTATCCATATAAACTACCCCTTAGCGTATCCCTCTACCTCGAGTGGCTCCCGGGCCTTGTACAGGGTGAACCTTATTGTAAAAAAAAATATCAACCAATATTTCTACAATCTTAATCTGTTCAAGTCTAGAGTTAACTGTTATCTTCCCCTCCTATCCATATAAACTACCCCTTAGCGTATCCCTCTACCTCAAGTGGCTCCCGGTCCTTGTACAGGGTGAACCTTATTGTAAAAAAAAATATCAACCAATATTTCTACAATCTTAACCTGATCAAGTCTAGAGTTAACTGTTATCTTCCCCTCCTATCCATATAAATTACCCCTAAACGTAACCCTCCACCTCGAGTGGCTCCCGGGCCTTGTACAGAGTGAACATTACTGTAAACAAAAAGAAGCGTGTCTGTTCAACCCGGGCATCATTACTGTCCATTTCAGGCAAGAAAGTATGGAAATATGGCAATAAGAAATTGATGAAAGGCTATCCGAAGACAATCAAAGATCCCAGCTATGATTCTCCAAACGCAGCTCTGCTATGGCATAATGGACATATCTTCCTCTTTAAGGTAATGTGATGTTTTTGTTTTATTGTGGACCAATGATAGTGTGATGGAAAGCTTGGGATGAGAACCCGAAGAGCCGAGTTCGAATTCCAATTGTTCGTCTCTTTTATTTACGAGCAATTTCCCTTCTCTCCGGATATGGGTAAATAACTGGACAGACTAGAGCCTTATAGCCTTAGTTGGCAACCAGTCTTAAGAGAAGAAAAATTCTGGATTTCAACGAGCCCCCGTCAGGCTATCTTGCCCAAGACGACTATAACTGCAGTACATATGGTGCTACTACGACTCTAATGGGTCACAGGAGACTTGTGCGTCTGGGATTCATTATATAAGTGACTAAGCAAGAACAGTAACTTTGAATATATGCTCTTTTAGCGCTAGAGGGCGTCGTCAGTGATGTTCTAGAAAAGGATCATTGGGCAGTTTCGGGTCTTTCAAACATCATACTGACCTCACCAAATCGACCCCTTCAGAGCTGATCAGACTCTGAAACGCCGTCTAAAAAATGCTTGTTTACGCTGACTTTTATAAATATACCCCGTAATCACACATTTGATTGGAGATTGAGCAACAGCCAATCACAACGGTGCAAATTCTATTTAAGCTGTTTACGGGTAATTTTTACTTTTTTTTTTGTAAGATACCACTTGTGACTTAACATATCGAGCAATCTTCTTCTGTATGTACCGTGTCCAATCAGGGCGTAGGCGATCAAAGCTCTCCACAATTTTCTGTCCTTTGTAGCTCTTAATAAATGTTGTCTTTTTTATTTCACCTAAGCCCTGTTCCGCCATCTATTTATTCAAATTCACTAAGCGTTATTTTCCTCTGCCCCTCTTGGATTTCACTTTGTCTTGTGAGTGTCAGATTTTCCAAGTTTCCTTTTTGTTTCCATTTCCTCTAAAACCTAGTCGTTCCTCACACGTTCGGTCTATGTTATCCTCATCATCCTTCTGTATAACCACATTTCTGTTGCTTCAAGTCTCTTCTTCAGCTTTGAGGAGATTGTGCATCATTCACTGGCATATAGGGTGACAGAAAAAATTTTAAATTGGAGAGACATTGAACTGGGCCAATTTCACTTTCTGAGCAATAACAGCATGTATCCAAAAAGGAAAAATGGTCAGCATCATTGGATGCTGTCAAGTCGCAGGTTTGACATAAGAAGTTTCTTTCTCCTTAACGAAGGTTAAGGGATCCAACACACCGAGCGGACTTACCACAGGTCTGTACGTATTTATACATCACCACACCTGGTGGACGGACAGTTGCGTCCCTAGACAAATGTGTCCCCGGATAATTGCGTACCTCTGATAATTTTTTGAAGTTATCATTTTTTTAAAGAGTTGTTTGGTATAGAAATTAGCAGACCAGTATCTTTAATTACTCTAAACAAGCAGAAAGCTAGTTACCATAAATTTAAAAAAAAGAGAAAAATCTCTTTTTTAAAGCAAGAGAAAATTCAGCTAGCAGTTTTAGTTCACTCTTGCAGATTCTGGATTTTATAGATTATGTTTTTATTTGGCTAAGTTACGAAAATCAAACACTGGTGGAAAAGTATTTGTAGACGTGGAAAATTACAGCTATCAATGTTATAAGAAAAAAGTCGATGTAACAAAAACATAATGGCGATGTGTAGAGCGATCTTCCAAAACTGTTAATCTGTCATTGCATTTTAAGCAAAAATAAATTTTTGATTTTTTTAAAAAAATTTTTCTTCTTTTTATATATTTAAAAAAAAAAATGATTACTACTTATGCTTTTTTTTTCAACATTTATGGTAATTGCTTTTAAAAGCTTACAAAATCATCAACGGTACACAATTATCCAGAGACGGATTTGTCTAGGGACGCAAATGTCTAGGGACGCAATTATCTGGTACGCAAATGTCTTTGAACCCTCCAATTTGTAGGATTATTATTTTTTAACCACTTTATGGTAATTGCTTTTAAAAGCTTCAAAAATTATCAGAGGTACACAATTATTCAGGGACGCATTTGCGTCCCTAAACAAATGCCTACCTGGATAATTATTGTGTACCTCTGATAATTGGGTTAATAGCCGCTGTTAAGGTCTTGGTGACCCCCCGCCCCAACCAACAAAACAGTGTGAAAGTATAAAAAAACATAATTATAGTAAAATCACCAACAATATATGTTTAAAGCAAAATGGTGTCCTGGGTATGACGATAAACTACATCCGCGTCCGGGGTGAGACGATGAACTATGTCCAACAGCAAGGCCTCTGATAATAAGTTTTTTGAAAAAATAATGTTGCCAGCTGTACGTTTTTGAAAAAAAATTATTACCAGCTATGAGAAAATTATATTACCAGCTATACGTTTTTGAAAAGAAAAAAATATATTACCAGCTATACGTTTTTGAAAAGAAAAAAATATATTACCAGCTATACGTTTTTGAAAAGAAAAAAATATATGACCAGCTATACGTTTTTGAAAAGAAAAAAATATATTACCAGCTATACGTTTTTGAAAAGAAAAAAATATATGACCAGCTATACGTTTTTGAAAAGAAAAAAATATATTACCAGCTATACACGTTTTGAAAAAAAAAAAAATATATGACCAGCTATACGTTTTTGAAAAGAAAAAAATATATGACCAGCTATACGTTTTTGAAAAGAAAAAAATATATGACCAGCTATACGTTTTTGAAAAGAAAAAAAATATATTACCAGCTATACGTTTTTGAGAAAAAAGATATTAACAGAAATGGATTTTTGACAAAAAAATATTACAAAAAAAAAAAAAAAAAGTTGTCGGAATTAAATGACCCATTGAGGTGTTGATATGCCGTAAAATAAAACAAACCAAACGTAAAGCAAAATGATTAGCAATAAATTGTATCTGTAGTTGAAAGTATACATTGTCGTTCAATATATATATATATGGTTGAAATTATGAAAATTGTGTTCTGACGACTTGGATTTCGGCGTTAAATAACCCATAGAGGTGTTGATATGCCGCTAAATGAAATCAACCAAATATATTTAAATCATTTCATTTGTATAGTGGGTTTGCTCAACACCACCAAGATGGTGTTGGTTTGCTTCCTACGTTAGGTGATGCAAGAGTTGTTTCCGTTGTGTCATAAAAAGCGCAGCTGACTTTTTTTGTACAAGCCGCGTCATTTTAGGAGATAAGGGAAACAACTCCTGAGAATTTTTATGACAAAAAGAAAACAACTGCTGTGTCTTAAAATATTGTCGATTCAAGGGAAACTGACTTTATCAATATCCTATTATAATTGTGATTGTCTCTTCCCTTGTTAGTTTGCACGTTTGATACATATAGAAACAAAAAGAAATATAAAATCATTTTTAAGATCCCGGGAGGTCATTGAATTGTAGTGAGCTTTACTAAGGGTACTACTTGTTTAGTAGTAATAGTGTGTCTTTGGCAAAATAACCTGATGGAGGCCAAACATCTCCAGGCTGAATTGAATTCTCTATATCTCTGAGATGAGGTATTATTGTAGCGATAGGGGTACCATTATTGTTTATTCCCAATGGGATCACTAAATATGTAGAGGTTGTATTATCATCGTTGTAGTGATTGAGTTACCAATATATGTAATGGCTAAGAAAGATGAGATTAAGGACAATGCGTGAACGCAATGCAATTTATACTTGGCGTAAATAGCACATAGAATAAAATACAAAACTGAACTGAATGATTCCAAAATATAACAATTAGATTTATTAATGTTTGATGTACATGAATGCGAACTGAAAAAGTAGGACAGAGTCGTGTCCCTTTGATTAGGTATTAGTTGTACCGGAGTTCATATTAAGAAAGTTTTGAATTGTGAGGTAAAAGTTCAGAAGTGATTTCAGAGTTCGTGAATGTTGGTAATTGTCTTTAACGTCTGGTCAGCAATGACTAAGACGGGAGTTGGTGAAGGTTACATCTTGGCACTTGGTAGCAAGGAATGAGAAGTGCAAGAGAGATGAATGAAAAACTACTCAAAGAGTTCACACGTGTTCGGTTTATATAATGGTCGTGTACCACGTGGGAGGCTCAAACGGAGAACGCGGGAAAAACAGATTGGTCGCGTGCAGGCGGTTTGATTGGTCGGAACTGACTAATCAGCAAGCAAGATTGGAGGTGATTGACCAATGAATACTTGTTATATTTATGTGAAAGTAGGATGTTACTTACCAGATAGGAAGAGTGCATTTCCTAAAAACAGGTAAGGCTGGTTTGTTGTGGAAGATTCCACATTATGATTACTTGCATTATTTACATTATTCGGCCTGTTATCCACATCTTCATCGTCATATTCACAACGTTTCGGCCTCTATATCTCTGAGATGTGGTATTATGATTACTTGCATTATTCACAGTATTCGGCCTATTATCCACATCTTCATTGTCATATTCACAACGTTTCGGCCTCTATATCTCTGAGATGAGGTATTATGATTACTTGCATTATTTACATTATTCGGAATATTATCTTCATCTTCATTACTATATTGACAACGTTTCGGCCGCTTTACATTCTACAATCTACATTCAACATCATCACTTGATAAGACACCAAAGGTGTTGAAACAAAATGGCTATTTTTGTAGTGATTTTATAACATATTTATGTTATAATTTTTGAATAAATTATTATATTTGCTCTACTCTGTATTGAGCACTCTTTTAAGAATAGTAATTGTTGGTGATTGGAATTTATTCCGTATACACCAATCATATATATTATATATATATATATATATATATATATATATATATATATATATATATATATATAAAAGAAAAACACATCTTGAAAAATACTTTGGTAATAAATTTATTTCAGTCGGTAAGATTTTTTAATATCTGCCATAAACAAACCGAAATTACAAAATGTAATTTTTTCAGAAAATATGTTAAACATATGCTTAACATATTGCTTGGATAAATTTAAACCATTTTGTAATTTCGGTCTGATGAGGCAGGTATTAAAAATTTACCTGCAGAAATAAATTTATTACAATGATTTTTTCAAGATGTGTTAAGTTTTTTCCTTTATATATATATATATATATATATATATATATATATATATATATATATATATATATATATTAAAAACAACTAATTCGTAAATTTGAAAAAGTTAAAAAAATTGGCTAGACAGAACTTGTCAATATTATTGAACCAAACTTGCCTGAAAGAATTCTTGCCACCGAAATGTACCTTATTTTAATATATGAACACAAACGACTAAACACATATTTCCCTTGGTGAAGATATTTTGGATCTTTCTGTTAATTTACCCCAAATAATGTCAAGTTACTTATCGCGAATATTAATTCACCCCAAGAAATTATAAATTTTAAATCAAAGCTTGTTTGGTGTTTTATCAAATTTTTGGAACTCTTTTGAAATTATAAATTTTAAATCAAAATTATTTATTAAATTTTTGGCAATCTTTTGAAATTATAAATTTTAAATAAAAATTATTTATTAAATTTTTGGCACTCTTTTGAAATGATAAATTTTAAATCAAAATTATTTATTAAATTTTTGGCATTCTTTTGAAATTATAAATTTTAAATCAAAATTATTTATTAAATTTTTGGCACTCTTTTGAAATGATAAATTTTAAATCAAAATTATTTATTAAATTTTTGGCACTCTTTTGAAATTATAAATTTTAAATCAAAATTATTTATTAAATTTTTGGCACTCTTTTGAAATGATAAATTTTAAATCAAAATTATTTATTAAATTTTTGGCACTCTTTTGAAATGATAAATTTTAAATCAAAATTATTTATTAAATTTTTGGCACTCTTTTGAAATTATAAATTTTAAATCAAAATTATTTATTAAATTTTTGGCACTCTTTTGAAATTATAAATTTTAAATCAAAATTATTTATTAAATTTTTGGCACTCTTTTGAAATTATAAATTTTAAATCAAAATTATTTATTAAATTTTTGGCACTCTTTTGAAATTATAATTTTAAATCAAAATTATTTATTAAATTTTTGGCACTCTTTTGAAATTATAAATTTTAAATCAAAATTATTTATTAAATTTTGGCACTCTTTTGAAATTATAATTTTAAATCAAAATTATTTATTAAATTTTGGCACTCTTTTGAAATTATAAATTTTAAATCAAAATTATTTATTAAATTTTTGGCACTCTTTTGAAATTATAATTTTAAATCAAAATTATTTATTAAATTTTTGGCACTCTTTTGAAATTATAAATTTTAAATCAAAACTTGTTTCGCTTGCCTGGCAAAAACCCCAACCCTCAGAATGGAAAATTACCAAATTACATCTCTGGGAGTTATTCGTATTTTGTAAGCGCGTATGATATTTGAGGTACTTACAAGGAATATTTTAAATTTGAAAAGAAAAATCTGTTTTTGGCTGCTTTCTCCATGTGAGCGCGAACGTAGACCCCATAACGTTTAAAGTGATAAAATCTGTCGGATTAATAAATTTAAAAAAATCATTACTTCTTTAGAAAATTGCTTTGTTTACGTTTGGATACAAAGTGAGTAGATGTGAAGAGTCTGCGATGAGAAGGATTTCGCCTAAAAACACTACTCAACATTCCTTGATCGGCAGTTCTTCATGCCTATGTCGGTCTAAATAATGTGAATATGTATTTTCTGAAATTTCAGGGAGATAAATTTTGGGCTTGGGATGATCATACGTCGGGTGTAATGGAAGGTTACCCAAGCAGTCTTGATGTTTACTGGCCAGGCTTACCCGAAAATGTCGATGCCGCACTCAGGTTTGCAGACAGTAGCATTTATTTCTTCAAAGACAGAAAGTAAGTAAATGATTGATTCTAGAATTGTGTTTGAATTATGTTTAAAAATAGCAATGAAGAAACGGTATTATTGTTTCGTTTTACATCAATGAATATTTGAGACAACATCAGCACATTTGGGTTAAGGTAATACTAATGGATGACCAATGAAAGTATGGCTGGGTTATAGATAGAAATTGCAATGAAGATGCCAGGAAAATATTGTATATTTTTCTTTCATTAACCATTGTCCAAAACCTTATCACTTTAGGGTTAGGCTAATACTAATGGATAACTAATAAAAGTTTCCCTGGGTCATGGATGAAAATTGCAATGAAGATGCCAGGAAAATATTGTATAGTCTTACTTCAATTTTCTAAAACCTTATCACTTTAGGGTTAAGGTAATACTAACGTATGACCAATGAAAGTATGGCTGGTTCATGGATAGAAATTGCAATGAAGATGCTAAGAAAATATTATATAGTCTTACTTTATTTATCTTTTTCATATAGCACGGGTATAATGACACCTCAGCTTCTGACCCGACCAATACTAGTAGGCCTACCATAGTCAAATATCGCAAACTGGACGTCGTCATGGACATATTTTATAGCAAATAAATGATTTTCATTCTTTTTTAGACTAAGCTATCCTAGAATGGCAAGAAAAAACACTTAGTATACAGTTAATAAATATTCAATAAAAGATATATAACGCCGATATTTCATGGACGGAAGGAAATGGCTGAATGGAAAAGGAAGGACAAAGATGCTTTTATACTAGTAAGACATACACAAAATTATATATATATATATATATATATATATATGTGTGTGTGTGTGTGTGTGTGTGTGTGTGTGTGTGTGCGTGTGTGTGTGTGTGTGTGTGTGTCCCACACAGAAATTACATCACATATATTTGTATAAGTGTAAGGAGAAATAAACGGAGATATTCCTGTGTCTGGAGAAGCCATTTTTAGGACTCCATATTCAAACGGGACGGATTCATCTATGTCCCAGAAGATATTCCACGAACGGGAAAGAAAAAGTCGGGTTTTCCAAAATTAAGGACTGCGAACGAGTTTCATTCGGTATCTGGGAAATATATATTTACAAAGGGAAACAACACCATAGGGAAGGCAGATTTAGTCTCTGTCCGAGCCATGGGGACTAGAGCTAAAGAAAGCAAACTTTACGTTTTAGCTACTGTAAAAAGAACTGAAATTAGACTGCCGCTATTGTCACTGTATAGGGCAACGTCACTAAGCGGCCGTCATGTGGCCCACGTTACTTACTTCCACCAAGGGAAGGTAAGCGCTTTCTGAATCCCTACGCCAGTAAATGTTAAGAATACAATAAATAAAAGTAAATATAAATAGAGGAAGACAATACGGAACACAAGTAAAACATATACGATGTATATAGATATATATCAGACAAAAGGGGTCCTTTAGAAAAGAAGTACCTCAGCTATGTAAACACAAAGATGAACGCAAATTGAAGAAGGAAAAAATTGCTAATTTTTTATTTATATAAGGCATTTGTAGATTTTAAGCGGCAGACACAGTGAATGACTTTCTGCTCTTCACAACAGAAAGACAGAATCAAGTAGGCTACGGGAGGCAGGCTAAAAGAGTTTATATGTAGTGTTAAGTTTATCTAAAGATAATGTGAGAATGAAGGCCTGACAGTTAGGTTACGGTCACCGGAAATGCATGCAGGGCAACCGGTCACCAATTAATTTTTGACGCCTCCATAAAAATTACCTGCGTATAATGCAAGCGGTTACTAAATGATTTCAACGCCTCCACATTTATTTCCAATTACAAATTGGAAAAGTACAAAACAAGGGTTGCACAAAAATTTCTTTCTGTGCGATTCTTTGGGCAGAATAACAATTTCAGGAGCCAATAAAAAGATTCCACTTAGAAAGAGGAACAGAAATACAACTTACCAAAAATGTTGATAAGGCCAACGGATTCGTATATAAAATATATCCATTCCTAAATACAAAAATAAGGGAAAACTTGGAGCATGAGGATTCACAATATGGCGCAAGGCACAATCTTTTAAAAGACATCAATCTCTGTTGTAATAGCTTTCAGTTTATAGTTGTCCTTTTATGTGATGTATTGTGAAAACTGCCCCGGCCGAAGTTGACGCTCCTTCGTTTTCTTTTCAACTCTTTTCCACGTTCATTTGTTACAAATGTATAAAAAACTACAGGAGAGGATCAGTTTATATATTAACTTTAATACAGAATTGAAGCCATACTTGATATCCACGTTATAATTTATGTTTTTGCCTATTATTAAATTCTGATTAAATATGAATTCATCACTTTCTTCCTCGGTAATGGGTTAATTTATTAGTTTAATGGGTTAATTAAATTAATAAATTAAGTTAATGGGTTAATTTCAAGTCTTATTAGACTTGTATCGCTAAACTAAATCATTAAAAAAATGGAATATAAATGTATAGAAACTACAGTGACCACAAAATGAGGGATCAGTATATTCATTGATAGATATAAAATTGACCCCCCACTTTATAGCCACTTTATAACTTATTGTGGCATGTCTTTTAGATTTATTTACATTCTGTGGCATATAAATGTATAGAAAATACCGAGGCCTAAAAATGAGGGATCAGTTTATATATGGATTGTAGTACAAAATTGACCCCTCACTTTTTAGCCACTTTATCATTTATTGTAGGCATGTCATTTAGCTGTGGAATATAAATATATAGAAGCTACTGTAGCTACAAATTGAGGGATCAGTTTATTCATTGATTGTGATATAAAATTGACCCCTCCCCCACTTTATAATCACGTTATAATTTATCGTAGGCATGTCTTTTAGATTTATTTACAGTATGTGGAATATAAATGTATTGAAAGTACCGTGGCCAGAAAGTGAGGGATCAGTTTATTCATTGATTGTGACATAAAATTGAACCCCCACTTTGTAGCCACTTTATCATTTATTGTAGGCATGTCTTTTAGATTTATTTACATCTGTGGAATATAAATGTATAGGAACTACAGTTGAGAATCAGTTTATATATAAACTTTAATATAGAATTGAAGCCGCGTTTGATATCTACATTATAACTTCTTTCGTTTTTTATTAAATTCTGATTAGGTATGAATCCAGCACTTTGTCCCTCAGCTATGGGTTCATTAGTAAGACTTGTATCATTAAACTAAATCATTAAAAAAAATTTACATTCTAAAAGTATTTTCTGATTAGATAACCTGCGAAAGATTGAAAAACCGTAGAAAAATCAATCGATCTATTAAAGTTATTGAGTCAGTAAATCGTATTTGTCTTCAACTGATGTCTGAGAATTTTAAACAAGAGTGGGAAACTCTCCAAATCTCTTCTCGTTCGTGAAGGCAAAACATGCTGATGGCAATTGAGTGATTTTACTGGCAGTCAAGACACTTCAAAGATTTTTTCTTACATTATGCTGTAAGCTTTTGTGTTATTCAAAATTATCAGCCGTATGGTTTTAGAAACCGCTACACGCAACAAAAACATCTTTAAAGACATTTTTCTTTCTCTTTCTTTTTTTATTTTTCTCTCCAGATACTATAAGCTGGATAACGTCAATCGAACTGTTCTGAAAGGCTACCCAAAGAGCACGGCCGGAGACTGGTTGCGATGTTAACACTCGCAGAAGATGTTCTTTTAAAATGGCGTCCTCCTGTGAACGTTCCGATAAAACCACCATAATTGATTTCAATGGGAAGCTGGAAAATTATTAAATTTGAAACTAAATATCTTCGGCATTTTGTTATTATTATTATTATTATTATTATACAGAATGCAAACACACACACACATATATATATATGGGATAGCGATATATGCATTTTTATATATTAAGAGCAGTTTTGAAGGCGAGATGTATAACAAAATAGAAAAAGTTTTCGTTTGACGCGTTCGTCTCTCTTAATAACAAAGATGATAGAAACAGGAAGAAAAAGAATCTTCAATACACACACACACACACACATATATATATATATATATATGTATATATATGAAGAAATATAGTCTTAAAGTGTGCTATATTTATGGGATAAAGTGCTCAATATCAGAGATAGAGCGAGTTTAAATATAAAAGTGAACACAGAAGTCAACACTTAGACAGCCATATGCAATCGTCAGGCCACGTGGCATGACGATTGCATATGGCCTGAAACAGACTGTCGCTTCTGAGTGTTGACTTCTATGTTCACTTTATATATATATATATATATATATATATATATATATATATATATATATATTATATATAATCAAATATGTGGTGCAGTTCAATTTATATTAAAATGAATCATTCATACAAAAAAGTAAATTGGTAAAGTTAATACTATAAAATGTTGAAATCCCTTCGCTAACAAAATTTTCAAGATGCATTGATCTACCAATCACCCGAATAATGTTATGATCCTTGTTTTTTAAAATTATAAGCTGTATAAGGTCTTTCTTAAATACGCAAGTACTTTCGACTATACATTCAGTCATTTTCAGACATGGACATTACTTTGTTTTTGGTAAAATTCAGGTATCATTCGAGACGAAAAATATATAATGCGAATCGAAATATGTTTTATTTTTTTTTTAAATCTGTTATTAATAACGGATACAAACTTTTGGAGCGTGCAGTCACTATATCATTTTATATCATGATATCATTATATTTATTATATCATTATTATATTAAAATTATATCAGCCATTTTATATCATTAACTTTACTAATTTACATTTTGTATAAATGATTCATTGTATATATATATATATATATATATATATATATATATATATATATATATATATATATATATACTAGCATTTAGAGCCCGGCGTTGCCCGGAGATTAACAAGTAAAAGAGATAGATCTTTTATCGACCATGTTAAAGACTGAAAATAAATTTGACAAAGATTATCTTTTAAGGTTGGGTAGTGTCTTCCATCTGACAACAACTCGAATAAAAAAGATCTTAATTAAAAAGGAATTAAAAAAAACATTAAGGTCAAATGAAATGCTCTTGTTACTCGAAAATTTCTCCATTAACATTTCTATTTAATTCTTTTGATATAAAGTCGTTTATTTATGATAAAAAAAGATAAACTGCACACATATTTACGTTATCTGATTAAAAGCACAGTAATAATCAGAATCTTAAAAGAAAACTACTAAGACATTTTTACTTTACTAATTAGATTTTAGGTACCTCCCCTAATTTGGTATAAATTTTCGATAACTAAGGTTTAAAATGATATTTTAAAAATAAAAAAAAGCATTCTTGAATTTTTCATTTTTAGCTTTAATTGAAAAAAGGATTAAATTTACTAATTCCAGTAAGTAAAATATTCTGGTCTATAAGAAAATATAAATTATATAGATCGAAATATCAACTTTTGGCCGATTTCAGAAAATTTTCTTAAAAGCGGCCATTTTCTTAATTTTAAGAAGACTAATAAAAAAAAATTATCGGTTTTAAATTTTAAAAATTTTAAAATCTATATTTGTGACATGTATTTGAATAAAATTTTTTTTAAATTTTAAATTAATCTGATTTGAAATAAACATTACTTACAGCATAAAAGTATTTTATACAAGCATTTTTAACGACTCGTCCTGTTTTTCTTTAGTTTATTTGATAGAAAATCTAAGTTGTACATTCTAATATATTTACGACATCGGATCCGCAGCAGGGTAATAATCAGAATCTTAAATTCCGTGGAAAAATACGAAGATGTTTTCAGTCTACTAATTGGATTATGCTAGACCCATTTCACTTTAACAGATAAAATGCAAACATAATTCTCACATGATGGATTTAAACAAGAACTCTAGCACCGTGACATGGTACACCACAAAACATACATTCAGATGTCAATAAATATCATAATTAAAAAAAAAAACATCGTTCGGTCTACAGATATTTCATCTTATTATTTGCCTATATACAAGAAAATGTCGCTCTTAAGATGATGATTTAAATTTTTTAAAAATACTTGGCACGTGCCTTCTAATCTGACAAAAACTCGGATAAAGGATCTTATTATTCAAGCAATTGATAGTAAGTTAATGTCTCATTAAATGCTGTTAGCGAAGTGATTTCGCCATTAATCACATTAGCATTTCTATTTAATTCTTTGTATAAATTGTTTATGTGCGATGTAAAATATAAGCTGCTCACTCTAATATATATAATATATAATATATTTACGACATCAGATCCGCAGCAAAGTAATAATCATAATCTTAATTTCTGTCGTAACCTACTAATATATTTTTCTGTACTAACTGTATTTTAGGTACCTCCACTAATTCGGTATAAATTTATGATACCTAAGGTTTAAATTAATTTTTACGAAAAATGATAAAATTTTTCTTGAAGACAAAATTTTTTTTTTAATTGGAAGCTAAATGATTAAATTTATTATTTCCAGTAAGTAAAAAATATTCTGGTGTATTTCAAATAGAAATTATATAGATTGTTCGATTTAAAACAAATTTCTTTAAAGCGGCTATTTTCTTATGTTTAAGAAACTTGTAAACAAAACAAAATTATCGGTTTTAAAAATCTTCCAAAAATAAAATATATATTTGTGACATGTTATTTGAGTAATATTAGCAAATTTAAAGTTAAATTAATCTGATTTGAAATAAACACTTCTTATAGCATAAAAAAAGTTATATACAAGAATTTCTTAACGACTAGTCATGTTTTTCTTTAATCCTTATTGGCGTATCAAAAAGTTTCGAGGTGATGACAGCAAGTATGGATGACCAGAATTGACATAAATTTACAAAATCTAAGTGAACGCATTTTTTTTTTGGTTTTTAACGACCTAGTAATTTTTAGAAATTAACATATTTTCAGCAATTATTTAATATTTTATTGACTTTTATTTACCTTTCAAAGATGCTTTATGAAAAAATTAAATTTAAAATACTATAAAATTTTCTTAAATTTACTTTTAAATTTAATAACAGAGGAAATACCATGATAGAAGTAACTTAATAATTTATGAAATATAAATATAAAAGTGAACATTCATAGTACTTTAAATCTTATTATTAATTAAATTATTGTTTAAACATTTATTATTTCAAGTCAATAAATAATATTGAAAAGAAATTGCTATATATAACAAATAAAATACTCGCCAGGAATATTTTGGGACCCTGGAAAGGGACATTTTTAACTTCTGCTACCTTTTCAATCCTTGTCATTTGTAGGACAATCATAATTGATTTTCGAAGTGCAAGTCTTGTCATTTCTCGCGCGTGGCGCCAACTTCATATTTGTTCAATTGATATATATTAGTCAGCTATTTCATGGCGAAATGAAATCGTATAAAAAGGATTAAAATAACTAATGATGTAGCCGACGTATTCACTATTGACACCTATCAAATCATCGACTCTGTTTGACTGTACGTTCGAAACTATCTAATCAGTGAGTATTTCATGCAAGGTGGTTGTGTAAATTTTTAGATGATACTCATTAAGAAATGACGAAACTATCACTCTACTTGATTATATGTTGGGCAATCACTGTTCGGATTATTTTTTTTATCTCAACCTATACAAGGCCCAATGTTAGCCACTCAAAGTATTTGTTACTGAAGGCGGTTGTTACATGAGCGACAAGTAAATAACGTTTGAATTATATGAGGATATTTGAAAAACATGACAATCACTGTTTATATAAATTCTAAGACATTTTTATCTTTTGCTACCTTTTCAATCCTCATCATTTCTGGGTTTGATTTCCGAAATACAAGTCCTGTCAGCGGCAATTTCATATTTGTTCAATTGAAAGTGTTGTGGCGATATGAAATCTTATAAAAAGGATTTGTATAACTAATGATGTAGCCGACGTATTTTTATTGACATTTATCAAATGTCCGACTCTGTTTGTATGTAAGTGCAATTATATACTTTATATTATTTGATGCAGGATACACCCTACTTTTTAGTTGATCGATTAATTTTTATTTTTCGAAACATATCTGAAATATACTTAATTATATACGGCAATCACTTAAACAAAACTGACAATACTTCTGCATTACATCAAAGCGATAATGAAATCGTATAAAAAGGATTTGCATACTTTAATCAATGTAGCCGACGTATTTTTTGTTGATAAATTGTTCAAATGTCCAAATGTGTTTTATTTTACTAATAGTGTGTAATGAAATCTGCAAAGTGAAAATTTCATGCAAGGTTTGGGCACAGACTCTGTTCATAATTTTACTCATTGTTTTTCAAAGAAGAAATTGAAACACAGATTTTTTTGTTGCATTAGTTTTTTTTCTGGATCAAGGCTCTCCTCTATTTTTCCATAAGGTCTTCTGTATTTTTGATCATTTAGCAAATTTCGTCTTGAACTTTTATTTGAAGGAATGATGTTAAAACCTATTCAGATAAAATGTTTCTCTAATGACAAAACTATTCTCAGACTTTTTGAATTTTTCTTTAAAGGTAAAAAACGTAAATAGAAACTTTCATAGTAATATGAATGTTTAGGCATACCATTTTGAAAAGTGGGAACGATGAATGCAAAAATTTTTAAATAAAAAATATCTTTAAAATATTTTATCAAACGACGTAAAATTAATCTTTTCAATTTTAAAATTC